GTTACAGACAAAATATCAGCGACGGTATCCCAAAATTTCTTGGGTGTTTTTGATATTTGGTTAGGTATATTTATATATATAAAAATGTCTCATAATTTGTGCAAAAGGCTGTACACACTTTCTTTCGCAATAATACAAATTTCATATCATCCTAATTACCTTTGGTTTTAGGTGATCTCTGCCGAGAAATCATTAATTCTTCGTCGCCTTTATTTTCCCTCGATCTTGTCCTTTGAGGTGAACCAAACAATGTTTCATCCTTCAAAAAGAAGGAAGATAACAGAATTAAGATTCAGTTACAAAGAGCTAGATTCAAAATCGCCTTTTCCGTAATTATCATATCCATAAGGTTTTTCTTTTCGTTTTTTCGATCAAGTTCGAAATCAAGTTAGCCTGTTTTACCATAAAATAGCTAATTTTCAGAACGAAAATTTTAACTTCCATCAAAGGAAAACCTGACCCAAAAACGAGAACWAATTTCTTACCACTGTAGAAGTTCTATTGACAGTGTGATACTGTCGTGTATAAGACCTTCTTGAACCTACAGATCCAGCAGAATCCACAGAAACAACTGTACTGTTCGGCTGCAACGTGAGACGAAACTCCATTTAGATTTACAAATTTAAACAAAAATAAACTGGAAAATAAGCTAAGTTGTAATTGTAACATATGATCACATCGATATAAACTCACCATAGCTGATGAAAAGTACTTTTTGCTTTTTTAATGTCAGAGATTGTACAAGCTAGCGAGCGTTTCTAATCCAAAATGGCGATGTCCTTGAAAAACACAAAACTATCACCAAGCTGTTGCTATAGTAACAAACAARTACTTTGGACAAGTGGACTGGGCTCCAAAATAATGTACGTACACACAGGGAACCCGATGAAAATCATGCGAAATCGAGGATAAACTCAAACTTATCTATTTATCMTCCAAGCTTGCTTTAAATTCGAGTAAGAATGGTTTRKAATGTAATATATAGTAAACTAAATATTCCAATTTATTGGGAAAGCAA